CTGTCTTTTAGAGAAAAAGAAACACCTTTCAGAACACACTGGTGGGAGAAGGGCCCTGGGATAAACATTGACCCTCTAACACACAGCCGGGGTGAGGACCAACAGCACAACCCATTCCTTTGGCTGCGGCCAACAGTGGCAGCCCTGGGCAATGCCCAGATTTCCCACCTCAAGGGCTGTGCCAGCCTTGCCTGTGCCCAGCACGACACAATGACATGACTGCAGGATGGCTCCAAGGAGCTGCCCATTCCTCCGTGCCCAAACTGCCTTCCTGGTGGCCATCAAGCCCTGCTAGTGCTGCATACTTATCAACCTGAACTATAAATAAGCAGTTGTTTTTAAATTCTATCAATCAACTCTTTTTTTTTTGGTTTTGATTACTGTTGGATTTCTTCTATTTTCATCCCATCTGGCAAGCACAGCTCATTGTTACTCCAGTATCTGATACCACGTGCCCTGAAGCATTCCAATGGCTTGGACCAGGATCCAGCCGGCTGCTTAATACTGATTTTACGATCCTGTTGAACAGCAACCTCCTCTGTTTTGCACATATTTTTATAATTTTGAATGCATTTAAGTAAAAAATAAAGCAAACTTTAACAAAGTGCCCAAATAATGCAGCCACAAGTTGAAACAGCACAGGATGAGCAAAATTCTGACTTCAGAAGACCAATAAAAATAATTTGACTCAGAATCCAGGACAGTAATTTTTGGGTTTTAAGTATTTTTGAGATTCCAGCTTAAACTGATTTTTCATCCCCAAAATTATATCCAGAAGGAAAAGACTTGATGGCAGAAACTTCTCATTATGCTTGGTAATATCTCTTTCCTGTTCTCCTACCAGCTACACCTGTGAAAAAGGAGTACTTTGGCTCCGTGGAAACCAAAAACTATGAAAAAACTTACTCATGACTCTTCCTGACAGCTACTAGGAAACACCTATGTAGGCTTAATTTTCAGCCCTTTCTAAGACATAGTTTTTAAAAAAGCCTGGCTGGAAAGCTATCACGAAGCTCCAGCTCCAGCTTTCTGCTCAAGATTGAGATCTTCTGCAGCAAGCCAAGACACTTCCCCATTAGCTACTATTGTGATAACCTATCAATAATTATTTTCATCTGGAAAACATGTTTATTTGTTGTGGGTTTTTTGTTGCCTTTTTTTTTTTTATTATTAAATGTTATGTTCTACAAAGAAGATAGTTACTAGGATTAATGATTCCATGAGGAAAATATGTAATGCTTACTGAGCCATGAAGCTTTTCCTCTCCAAAATAACTATTTACTTTTAATTTTATCCAATGAATTTCTATGGTGTCAGGCATTTTGCATCAGATTTTTTTCATCATAGTAACCTAAACTGGTTCATTATACATTAAGAAAACAGGATACTTTGCAGTAGTAGCATTCTGAAGTTTAAAGTGTTTATGAATGGAGGGAGAAAAATAATGATTAATTATTTTTTTTTAACCAGGTAATCAGTTAGGGGGGGGCTGAGATTGGCTGAAGTTTTAAACCAGATTTTTCTTTCAGAAATTACTTACTCAGGCTTACAAGCCAGACAGGCAGGTTTTCCCAGTAGCATTCTCCAACTAGGTTGAGGAATAGTAACTCTGGAGCCCAGCCAATTCCAATGTAAACCTGTGTTGTTTGGGAAAGCAAGCCAAATCGGTTTTATACAACATCTTGATTTTTGGGCAACCTGTGATACTCTCAGCTCCCATTCCATGTGTCAGGAAAATCAAATGCTTTTTCTCTGTATGTGTGTGTAATTCTGGGCAACAGGCACAAGTAGAGCAACACGGGGCAACTGCTTGCTGTTAGATACAAAACAAACGCCTAAACACAGTTTGGGTCTTTAAGCTTTGGCCAATATTTGGTTGTGTGTCTGCTCTGACTCATGGGCAGTATCAGACCCCCAAGTGAGGGGAATTGCTGTAACACTCCCACCATCAATGCAGAGTCACTTATTCACTGAGATGAAAATGTGGACTATAGTCTTACGTTTCAAAGAGCCATCAGACTATCCTGCTAGATTTCATATAAAGCCCACAGAAGAACATTTAAATTATTTATTAAGAATGTCATGAATGACAACTTCCTACCCTCTTAGAAAGGAGAGAGCAGTGGCTTGCCATCAGTTTGGCAAGGCTTTTTTTTTAACAGGGATGGCTACACCTCGGAGACAACTGACACACAGGGAACTATCACTGGTCAAAGCCATTCCTTATTCTCCAACAGGGCTTTTAAATCACCCCAGGAACACAAAGACCATCCACTCTGACCGTAACCGACGTGAACTTTCAATCATTGTTCACATTATACTCCTGGCAACACATTATCACTTGTGGCAACTGAACTTACTCAAACTCAAATATTACACAGCAAACAAAGTTTCGGTTAATTTTCCTCTAGCAAAGTATCAAAGGAAGCAATGCCCTTTGAAGCAGTTACCTTATGCTTTAGGCTTCATACAAATTCAACAGAACAGCACCTCAGAAATCCTGAACCAAATGCAAACAATCCCCACCTTTGGAAAACAAACCCCTGTTCAAGGAGTAAACAAAAGCATACATTAGTCACTTGCTCCAAAGATGGGCAGCCAATGGAGGTGATGAGATTTAACCTCGAAGACTGACTAATAGCATGCAGCGTTCCCAAATAACTCCATTGCTTAAAGGATCCCAAGCATTTTAATATCATATGACAAATTAAGTTTATGTCTGTGCACGAGTGACTGACTACTAGCAACTACTCAGAGCAGGGTAAGGGGGTCAACGACGCTCCCCATCAAGCTTTTCTGTGTGAGTAGGGACTTCTCTCTCGTAACTGCTGGATTTTGACCTTGAAACTCACACAGTTCACTGTTATGATTTCTAGCTTCATTACCATGGCCAGGAACTGAACTACAGGTTTGTTTTTATTAGCTTCTCCACCACTTTGCCAGCTATTCATTTGAATCGTCTAAACAGTCATCTCTGAATCATAATGCAAATTCCATTTACTGAAAAGGTGGTACCTTTAATATAACAAATGAACATGTTTAATGACTGATACTTTTAGACATTACAGCATCTCTCATGTTTTCAGTAAATGGATATAATTTTCTCAGCATTACCCTATTATTATTCTTCGCTAGCATTACGAAGCTACGTTCTCAGCTGTGGGTGTTTTCCACCAAGTGCATTTTGAAGATGGCTCAAACAGCACGATTTAAAAGACATCTCCCTCTGTATCCTCAGCTAAAAATGCTGCAGGATACAGAGGGACTGGATTGGTATTTTATTTTTAAAATGCATTTAGTGCTTGCACCTATGTTTCAGCAGGGCCATGCTCTTCCACAATTGCTGACTGTATTTATACTGGAAGAATATCTACAGATACATTTCACTTCAAAGGCAAATAAAGGCTGTTGCATATAATAAGGGTAACTTCCGCAGTCTGAAGCCTGACCCGTCTCCCATTTGCAATAAAACATCTTGAGAGTGAGCGAGCAGAAGTGGGTCACCTTTGCAACTCTCCTGAAGCATGCTCATAACTCTGTATTCAAAAGAACCACACATGCAACCATGCATCAGGAGATGGCTTGGATGTTCACACGGGGAGAGAGGGAGAGGAAAATGGTGAGGAGGGGTAGCGAGCCCTGAGTACTCAGTCTTGCTCAGAGACACATTATTGCACAAATTGCTCAAAAATGTAGTATACAGAAACCTATTTAAGTGCAGAAGACGCTATCACTTCAATTTTTGACTGCTACAGCACAGAATCATCCCTAAATAACACTGCTCTGTCTGGTACACCATAATGTTCTGTTCCGATGTTACTTAAAGATATGAATGAAAAAGAAGAAAAATACATAGGTAAATATCATATGAAGTCACATGAAAGGTGCAACAGTTTTTCATTCTTGGCCTTAAAGGAGAGAGGCAGATCTATCCTCAGAGCTTCTTCTGAGCAAGAGCTCATTGGCTTCTTTTCTGTGAAGTTTACTGAACCCCCCTGACCCACACAAAGGGACTCTACTCACAGAAGCAAGGGAAGTAATGCAAGAGGAGTGCTTAAAATCACCTTGTAATAGAAAGGTAAACATGGTTGCTTGGAATTTATGAGGTTTAAGATTACGGACTGGAGCCAAAGAGTGAAGTTGCAAAGGGTCCTTCTGTTGATTTTACAGAATTTTGGATCAAGCTTTGTACACCTGCCCACTCACATGTGACATGAGCCGCACGTGTCACATACTATTTGCAGCTTCCTAACAACATTTTTATATAGTCCTAGTCTAAGTCAGCTTCAACTCTTATTTGTTATTTATGCTCATAACACCTTTTTATTTACATATTACTAGTTACTGGTTATGAGCGAGATACAACAAATCAGGTATTAAACTCAACTGGTCAGTTCTGGTCTATCCTATTCACTTTTCAGGAGCATATTAAATAACAGGACTAGTGCATACCGTTCCATGACTATTTCAGAGAAAGAAAGTCAGAAAAAGTGCCCTGTGCCTTCATCAAGTTGTGATGAACTCAGAAAATTTTTAGATCTGTGCAGGAATTACTTGTAATTTTAGACTGACTCACTCTGTTACAGAGACTAGATTTTGCAGAGAATGTCTTGGAGCCCTGAGGCGGTCCTGAGTCTTTACACAAGCTGAAAATTAACATTTTAAGTTGAAAATTCACTGTTTAAACTTAACCATGGGCAATATTGTGCTGTTCTAAATTTGACAGGGTGGCTTCCAGAGCCAATACAACTTGTTGTCTGTGTTTTTTTTTTTTTTTCAAATGAGATTTTGCTGTTTAAAACTGAAGTAACACAGAGGACAGGCTGCAATAAAAAAAAGTAAAATATATAGCTAATTCTGTGCCTTTGGAATCGGCCTATGCCAGATCTTGTAGCATCCCCGGCTGCAGAAAACTCGACAGACTCCATCTTCAAATTCCCTCTACGTAACCATAACTTCACATAATTAGTGAACACGACCAAAGTGTAGCTGACACATACCTCTTCCACTTCTACCCACAAAACGGAGGTCGTTGAACCTTGCTACTTGATTTTTCATGGCAGCTGTGGCATTTCTGAGTTCTGCAGAGTAGTTTTCATCATTCCCAGCCATCACTGTTACCAGCGTCCCATCCGGCACATCTCCCAAGGCCACCACCTATCAAATCAAGAAGCAAAAGCCTCAGCTTCCTGACACAACATTTAATTTTGGGTGCAGAAGATCGACAAGTAACATGATAAAATAGGAAAAAACAGCAGCAGCAAAAAGATCTGTGCAGACTAAGGTGTTTGGGGTAAACTACAATCACTTCTGTTCCTAGTTTACAGAGCTACAGAAAAGTTTTCACATTGATGTGTCTCTGGAATACCCAGCATAACGTGTACTCTGACATGAAATGCACATGAAATAATCTTTCCAAAATACAATTCTGTAATTCTCAGTAAATAAATTCACGTAATGGGAACTCATTCTGGTCTAATTTACATCAGTAGCACTACTTTTAAGCTGGAGTAGAATCAGCACAGTAATGGGAATGCTAAATTCAAGAGAAAGCAAACCCAAGCAAATCATCTCATTAACGCAGAGGGTCAGAGTCCCAACAGCTGCACCAGTTCCCCGTCTTTTCCTCCCACCACTCTGAACAGAGCTGCCCCCGCATAAATTCAGAATAAGTCCGTGGAAAAGCAAGTCTCAATTGACCGTTTAATCACAACTTATTGAACAATTTCTTTTTTACCTTGAGAAGCATGAAACCAAATAATTGACTTAAGACCTCACCCGCAACCTGATGGATGGAAATTGTGATCTGAACTAATGAAATCTACAGTCGCTCTGACAAAGGCTTTCACCTGCTCTGAAGTCTTTGTGCTGCAGCTTCTTGGTGCCAGCACCTATCAAACAAATATTTAGGAACACAGCACTTGCCGCATTTTTGATGCAATGCGCTGCTATATCGATTTCTAACCTTACATTTTCTGACTTGTATCTACAATGTTCACACTGGTTGAACAATGAAAAATTTAACTGCATCTTGTCCTCTTGAGCAAGACTGAAATCTCAAAACAGTTTTACCTGGCTACAATTGAACTGATATCTAGTACATCTCTTGATTTATTGTGACAAAAGCAAGAGTTTGAATTAGGTTCCCTATCATACTTTTTTTAGATCCTGTTGCTGTTCCACCAATGAAGTCTACAGTAGCAACCTCAGGACAGGCTACCTCCAAAAAAAAAAAAAAAAAATCTAGCTAGTTTTTATTTCCTCTTTTACCCATTCTAAGAGGAAGTAGTCCTGCATCATGTCCTCTGAGTTGCAGCTCGGTAATTTTCCTTCCTCTTAGTGTTTTCTATCTTGTGTTCATGCAGTTATAATTGGCTGGAACTTGTCACAGCTTGGTCTTATTTCTATTGCTTTCTAATCACACTTGTTCTTTGCAAACAGGATCACCAGCTCCATTACTTCTTCTGTCTCTCTTATTCCCCAGACATAGGTACCTCCTATGAGAGAGGTCTCCAGTCTCAGGTATTTCACAGCCTTTCCTTCTACAGGAGGCTGTGTTTCTCACTTCAGTGCTCGCCTGTTTGTCACCAATAACCCCTATTTTCACTTCCACATGCAAAATTAAAATCACTGTGTCAAAATTCCCTCTTTATGTACCTATTTTGACTTCCTCTTTCCCATTCCTCTGTGGCCTAGGCTTTTGGGTTTTTGTTCTCTTCTGTGTGCCATAATGTGTTTCTGTGGCCTATGCTATGCTCAGCATTGCACTTTTCAAATTTCCCTGATGTGGGCATAAATTAGCCCTTGCTTGAAACATGTAAGCTAGGAAGTCTCCTTGCACAGCGTTGTGTCATGAGACACGCTGGCTCACAAGATCAGCAACCGTGAACCCAGCATGCTCACCCAGTTCTCAAAAAGCTACCCTAAAACCGTAATGCATGCACATCCAATAAAGGCACAAGAAAGGGAAAGGGGAAAATCGGGGCATTACCCTCACCTCCCTGCGATGCAAATGTTCGTGTGCTTGTTTAAGGAAATACATGCTAGCATTTTAAGGGATGAAGAATCTTCGTGAATCCATGGTCAGTTGTCTCTTACAGGACAAGTATCTTAAATTGCCGTTTTCAAAAATACGCTAAAGACAACCTCAGACATGTAAAAGAAAATATTAGAAACAAGTATAAAAATTCCACAGCCCAGAAAGGAAACTAGAGTTAAAAGTCACAGACAACAGAAAGAGAAATACAGACATTTACATTAGAAAAAAAACTAAACAGATAAGCTGGGACTTGCTGACTGAAGTTATCTAGTACTTTGTTGTACTCTTTTGCTCTTAAACATATGTATGTCCAGAGAAGCGAAAGGAGTATCAGAGTTGCAACACTATCGGGTATCTAAATTACCTACTTCTGGTGCATCAGTCAAAAAAATTGGCCTTTTAAATTAAGAATTAGATTCTTTCTTAAGAGAGTTTGGACAATTAATCTATATAGCATCTTATTAGAGTTATTACATATTATTTTCTAAGTTTCTCAGAATAAATCTTTATTTCAGAAAAAAGCCCAAACAACATGGAAATTACAATTTTGGTTTGAAATAATATCCTGATCCTAAAGATCAAACACCATGAGTGATTTTTTTCTCATTAAATATAAAGAGAAAATGCTCTCTCTCTTTGTATTGATGCAGTGGTTGCTACTTGATAAAAGTCACTGCTTTTTCCATCAGATGCAACTAAGATTGGCAGCATAGGAATGATCTGAACTGAATTTTCTAGTTCCTGATCCAAATAGTCTTTAAAAATATTAGTTCTAAAAATGCCTTTGGAAATATTCAATATGTAGTACAAACCAAATGTGATTGTTTTATGTGTGGCAAGCTGTTTCGGGACTGATTTTTCAGCAGCTTATGGCGAGAGGGTTTGGGAAGGGGAACGAGGGGCAGCGAGCGCCCCGGGAGGCAGGTGCCTCCCAGAAGAACATTTCAGGAGCTCATAAGGAAACCATCTCCGGGGTTGGTTTGGGTTCTCTTGTGGTTTTGGTTTTTTTTTTTTTTTTTTTCCTTTTCCTTGCGCATTTCTAGTTTAATCTATCTCAGTGTTACAAACGCTTGCTTTCGTCTGTTTGGAGAAGCTGACCCTTTCCTCTGTTTGCAGAAGCTGGGAGCGGGCTCGCTGGCTCAAGCGGAGGGTTGCACCAGCTGCGGAAGCGGGGAACGAGGAACGAGAGCACTGCTGGGTATCTCTCGAAACTAGCCCCCGGGGTTTGTTTTCCGTGGGCGATTTTAAAATACCCAGGGCAGCAGCCTGC